AAATTCACCGGTGGCTCAACACAGACAGTCACGTTAAGGAAAACCAATTGCACGTGTTTTGCGACAGCTCGAACAATGCGTATTCTGCTTCAATTTATTTACGTACCATCACTTCAACAAATGATATTAACGTTAATTTAATTACAGCAAAAAGCAAACTTACACCGATTCGTGATCCACTCACAATACCCCGTGCCGAATTAAGTGGTGCAGTTTTGGCAGTCAAATTGTTTAATTCTGTGCAAACCATGTTTCGATTGCAAATTCACCAAACAATTTTCTGGACCGATTCATCGATCGTTTTATCATGGATTCGCGGAGATCCAAATCTTTGGACGACATTTGTTTTCAATCGTATTCATCACATTTTATCCTTCACGGAAATTGAACAGTGGCGTCACATCGAATCAAAACAAAATCCTGCTGATTGCAATAGCAGAGGTTTAAACGTCACTCAATTACGTGACTCAACTTTGTGGTGGAAAGGGCCAAGTTTTCTTTCCTTACCTGAATCTCAATGGCCAATTTCTAAATTTGATTTGGCCTCCGACGACAAAAAAGAGCTTCGATCGAAATTCAAGTCTGTCAACGTCACAATCAACGAAACGCCACGCATCGAATCCATAATGCAACGATTTTCAAATTTCAATCGCTTACGACGTTCGATCGCCTACGCCATTCGCTTTGTGCATAACGTACAACGTTCAATCAAACTCAAACTGCCAAAATCGAAACTATCCCATTCAGTCAATGAATTAATCAAACGAGTCGATCCCCTCACCGTCGCTGAAATTCAAACCAGCGAGAATTGCATCGTACGATGGGTGCAGTCTCTCGAATTTTCGGCCGAATTACATTCAATCCGTCAACAAAAATCGATCGACCGATCCAGCAAAATCTATAAACTCAATCCATTTCTTGATGAAAATGATTTGCTACGCGTCAACGGCCGTTTACAAAACGCTTTCATGCCGTTCAACGAAAAATTTCCAATCATCCTTCCATCAAAGAGTCGGCTAGCATGGTTAATCGTTAAATTTTATCATCAGCTCACATTGCACGGCGGCCCGCAATTGACCGTAAACCAAATCAGACAGAATTTTTGGATTTTGAACGTGCGCACATTCGCCCGCAATTTCATCAACAAATGCGTCGTGTGTTTCAAACACAACCCGACTTTATCACAACAATTGATGGGCTCGTTACCTGCTCATCGTTTAAACGAGCAAACTCGTCCATTCGCCGCATCTATCGTTGATTAGGCTGGCCCATTCGACATTCATGCATCAAAAGGTCGAGGCCAATCGTCATACAAGGGATATGTGGCCGTATTTACATGCATGGTCACCAAAGCAGTTCACTTGGAAGCAGCCGGCGATTTGACCGCTCAAACATTCTTGCATGCACTCGACCGTTTCATCGCAAGACGAGGGTTTTGTCACGATTTGTTTTCCGACAACGGTACCAATTTGGTTTTGGACGTTTCGTCTGACAGTGTGAACAGCATACAAGTAATAGCTGCTGCAAGTAAATCATAAATTGTAAAATAAATACTCGCTCTATCAAAGTCAAAACACTTTCTAATAATAAAACAAACTGAAAAGGCCTCGGAAAAATTGAAGTTTAGTCGGCAAAGCGTGAAATATCTTGTTTATCGTCGATCGAAAAAAGAAGTGATTGAAAGAAAGAAAAAGAAGAGAGTAAAGAAGAAGAGTTATTCAGCGTGCAGGGCTGTATCATTTCGCCCGTTTTTTCGCCGGTGAATTGTCAACAATGACTCAATGACATAACCAAACATCGTGTGTCATTCAGTGCTGGTTGTTTTTTTTTCTCTCTCATCATCCCGTCGAATTGAAATATCACCATCGAAATGGCAAATTCGGAAGCAAAAATGGTTATTGGAGACGATGACTCTCTTCTCATGAGTGATGAAGAAGCACCGAAAATAGATTTAACGTCGGTTAAATCGAGTGAACCGACAGACCGAGGAAAAAACCATCGTGCACGCAGTTCAAGTAAAGCGAAAGCATTAAACCAGTCAGCCAAATCGAACGCTGTGAATGCAAACACCACCAATGTCGATGGAAAACGTAACAAGAAAAATGCCGACGCAAAACATGATCAACTTTTATCCATTTTATCGGACATCAAAGGGCAAAACCAAAACACTACCGATGAAATCGCAACGATGAAGAAGTCACTGGACGGTAAATTCGAAGCAATCAATGCTGAGCTGAAATCGAACAAACAAAATGTAGTTGCTGTTACTAGCCGATTGGATGACATGGAAAGCAAGGTTGACGCTGTTGCGTACGATAAAGAGCTGGACAAACAACAAAAGTTGAAAAACAACGTGAACATTTGCGGTTTTCCGAAAACGGATAACGAAGACGTCACCAATGTTGCACTGACTATCTTCAAAGCATTTGGATTGAACTTTGTGCCATCTGACTTCACTGGTGTATACCGTACGATTGGGAAATCTGCTCAAATGAGCACAATCGTGGTGAAGTTCAGCGATTTCAACAAAAAGCTATCAGCGTTGGAATCAAAGGCGAAGAAGAATGTTGTACTTGGTGATGTAGCACAATGCGCCGACGACCAGCGAAAAAAGCAAATTTTCATCAATAATCACATTACACCATTCTTCGCTCGTCTTTTGGCTGTTGGACGTCAGGGAGTGCGCGAACAAACGATTCACTCGTGTTGGATTGCGGCTAATGGATGCCTTGTTAAGAAAACCGAAAGCGACAAACCAACAGTCGTTCGTTCTATGGCGGCAATGGCGAAACTAACCGAAGGAATGAAGTCAACTACAAAGAGGTCCAAGCCAGACTCCATGAGTCCACGGCTATCGAATGACAAGAGACGGAGATAAGCAACCAGCACAGTGAAATGACCTGTAAATATAATTTTGATTGAACTGCTCATTGTTAATTGAAACCATTTTAATTCGAACCAAATTACTACTATCAAATATTTCATTAAAATCATTTCATCTTGCTAACTTTTTTTTTTTCTTTTTCAATAACGTAATTATTTTGCTTTTTTTTTCTCATTGATTCATCGATTTGCTTTGAATTTTCTTCGTTTATCATGGCTTCGTCATTATCATTCGACGATATCATAGCGGCGCTGCTCTTTTATCAGAATTTGAGAGGACTGAGAACCAAAACAAAGAAATTCTTCACCAACCTTTTAAACATTAAGGCTCATTTTGTGTGTTTGACCGAAACGTGGCTTAATTCTGATTTTTATTCAAACGAATATATTTCCAATAACTATATTTCCCACCGTAGAGACAGAAATTACGAGGCAACTGGCACCACTAGAGGAGGTGGTTGTTGGATTTTGCATAAGCCCTCAATCGATTCAATTAGGAGATATGACTTCGAAACAAATATCAACTTTGTTGAGGATGTCTGGATCCAAGTCAAACTCGAAGGTTCAGATAATTTTTTGTACATTTGCACAGTATACATCTCGCCAATGCCTAGTAATACCCATCTGTATGTTGCCTTTTCTGAAAAGGTCAAGGATAATTTGGCATTGATAAATCCATCGGATCGTGTCCTCATACTGGGTGACTTCAATGTATCAATGATTAAATGGAATGTCGGGGATGAGGGCATTCTGGTCCCGTCCTTAGACACAAACAATGCAAACGCACATGAGGTTCTCAATCTCATCAGCTTTGGCAATTTCAAACAATTCAATCAGGTATACTACGACAATGAGGAGACAAATATACTCGATTTGGTTCTTTCCCCCGATCCACATAGAGCAATTCAAGTGTCAAAGGCAAGGGAATCGCTTGTTGAACCAGACTCATATCATCCACCACTAGAAATCATAATCGATATTAAATTAAAATTTCTTCCTGTGGTAAACCACAGAAAATTCAAGTTCGGACATGCCAACTATGAGGCAATTTGTGGAGAATTGGATGTTATTGACTGGCGATTCATTGACAATTTACCCTTTGCCTTAGCAATGATACAATTCTATTCCATACTTAATGGCATTATTCAGAAACATACCCCCCTTTACGGGAGGAAATCTAAGTACCCCTTCTGGTTTGACTTTGATTTAAGAAGTAAATTAAAAAAGAAAGATAAGGCTCGACTTAAGTGGAAGAGAACCGCTCTGGAGAGTGATTATAAGTTTTTCTCTGATCTTAGAAAGGAATGCAAACTGAAAATTGAACAGTGTTACAGTAATTACTTAAATAACCTCCAAGCAAATATCAAATCAAACATAAAACTGTTCTGGGCATTCACTAAGAGAAAGAAACAAACAAATAGCTACCCATCATCATTTAAGTATGACAATGTCATAGTCTCAAGACCCGGGGAAATTTGTGAACTGTTTGCCACTTATTTCAAGTCAACTTACAACAACCGTTCATCAGACCGTTCAATCAACATCACCAATACCGTTCATTCAAATACCGATCAATCATTCCACATCACACCTGTTGATGTTGAAACAATTATCGATAAAGTTGACTTAAATAAGAACGGCGGACCAGATGGCATTCCCAATTATTTCCTAAGACAGACTTGTAAGCAAATTTCAATACCACTTTCAATGATTTTCAACCGATCACTCCGGTCAGGCATCTATCCAGATGAATTCAAAACGTCATTCGTGACACCAATTTTCAAGAAAGGTGATGAGTCATTGGTATCGAACTATAGACCAATTTGTATGTCTAATTCTATAGCTATTGTCTTCGAAAAAATCGTTAACTTACACCTGATATCAATGGTTGAAGATCAAATCACACCTAGGCAACATGGGTTTATGAGAAATAAGTCAACCAATACAAATCTGATTGAGTACGTAAGCTATGTGTCAGATGCCTTGGATGAAAAGTGTGAAGTGCATGCCGCATACACCGATTTCTCCAAAGCATTCGATACTGTTGACCACGAAATTCTTTTGTCTAAACTGGCAAACTTTGGTATTGACACAAAACTCATAGGCTGGCTCAGATCATATCTTACTAATAGGCGAATGTATGTCACCTTCAATGGTGATAAATCAGCAACATTTGAACCAACTTCGGGGGTTCCTCAGGGCTCAGTTCTGGGACCAATTTTATTCAACATTTTCATCAATGACCTTAGTCATATCCTAAAATGTGAGTTTCTCCTATTCGCTGATGATCTAAAAATTTATATCAAAGTAAAATCTCAAGTAGATGCTGACAGACTTCAAAACGACATCGATAGACTGCACGAGTGGAGTGTAGTCAACAAATTACTTTTAAACATTGAAAAATGTCACGTGGTGATCTTTTCAAACAAAACCGTTCCATCTCAACCGCTGTATACTATGAATACCACTCCGCTCACTCAGTGCAGTTCTGTCAAAGATCTGGGAGTCATCTTTGATGACAAACTCAAATTCGATGAACATATAAACTCAATCGTAAAAAAATCTAACAGCATGTTGGGATTCATAATGAGAGCAGCAGCCGATTTCCAGGACCTGACATGCCTAAAGTATTTATACAATTCTTTGGTGAGATCTAGATTGGAATACAACACTGCGGTGTGGAATCCCTATCAGATCAATCATAAAGAGAAAATTGAAAGAGTTCAAAGGAAATACACTAGAATTGTTTTCTTTAAACTCAGACAAAATCCTCAATCATATACCAATCGCATCAAATACTTAAATATGTTAGAACTGGAAATGAGAAGGGAATACTTTGATGCATGCTTACTACATAAATTAGTACACAACCGGAACTATTGCTCACATTCTAGACCGTACTTCAGAATAAGCCGACGGTCGAATAGATCGAACATACTTTTCAATCCTCAACCCACAAATAATGATTATGGGCTTCACAGAAATCCTGTGACTAGAACGCAGTTACTATACGAAAGAAAATTCAAAGCAACTAATATTCTTGATGCAAACTATGAACTGTTTAAAAATAAAATAATGAGCAACTTCAGTCAAAGTTGAAATATTAAAATAATTGATGCAAATAGCAATATAATAAGGCAATGTTTTAACTGCATCAGTTGAGATAATTTACTTGCAATCGAATTTAAAATTATAATCAATTCTTATTTTTTACAACTTATTAATTTTAAATTAAATAATTATACTATTTTTTCTTTTGCTTTTTAATATTAGTAATATATTGCCAAAAAGTAATTAGAAAATGTAAAATTGAAAGTCAACAAAAATGTGATCAGAACTCATAGGTGAAGAATGTTATTGGGATTTTTTCCTGTTTTCAACACCATTATAAATCAATAAAAATAAATAAAAAAATTTCTTGGGAGCATCCAATGAAAACAAACGTACACTCGCTGAGTTCGAGCAACACATCGATCCAGAGATTTCATCATATCTCACCAACCGAAACATCCAGTGGCACTTCAGTCCACCCAGTTCACCTCATTTCAACGGTTTAGCTGAAGCCGCCGTCAAATCAATGAAATTTCATTTTCATCGCATCATCGGTCAAGCAAAACTCACTTTTGAGGAATTTTCCACCGTATTGGCACGAATCGAAGCCGTGCTTAATTCGCGGCCTATTTCACCGACGAGCAGCAATCCCAACGATTTTACCGCGTTAACTCCTGGCCATTTTCTCGTCGGAAACGCGTTATTATCACGACCTCAACCACCTATCATCGCCAATCCAACGAAACGTCACCAACTCATGGAACAAATGACTCAGCATTTTTGGCATCGTTTTCGAAAAGACATTCTATCGTCAATGCAAATCCGCACCAAATGGAATGACAAGCAACCAAACCTCAAAGAAAACGATTTGGTAATCATCAAAGATGACAGGTTCCCTGTGGGTCAGTGGCCAATGGGCCGAATCGTTTCATTACATCCAGGAGAGGACGAGTTAATCAGAGTAGCAACAGTCCGCACCAGCGGAGGCATATTCAAACGACCGATCGTCAAGTTAGGCTTGGTGCCAGTCGACGATATCACTGACAATTCAACCGCCAAATCGCAATCAATTGTGTGTGATACCGTTTTGCACTCACCTTGAATGACTTAGCCACTCGAATGCAATTTTAGTCACTTATTCTCGTTTCAGATCGCTCCGGCCAAGGATCATCCAATCAGCCTAAAGCATCCTAAATCTTTTCATTTTTTTTTTTTTCAATTGGCATTAAATTAATTCAATAACATCATGTCAATTCATTCATTTGCCGAAATTTTCGTTTTACATTGTTTATTCTTTTTTTTATTTATTAGATTCAAAATTTGCTAATTAATTTTCATTTTTTTTTTGGCTAACTCAATTCATGTTCCTTTTAGTTATTTGAACCTTGTTTTTAATTTGTTAAATTGCATTAAAAACCCCGGGAGCATGTTAGGTTTCTCAAACCTACTAACGTCAATTCATCATAAATCAAGTCGCACAAGTGACAGCTGAATGTCAAACGACCATCAATAAAATCAGATTAGTCTAGACCGTCACCTCATTCACACGTCTTTCTTTTCTCCATTCAAACCGCAATACTTTACTCGCATTCCAAATCTTATCATAAATAATTTTGACTAAGTATTTACATGGTCCTTCGACTGTGAGTGGATTTTAAATTAAAAATAAAATTCGTTCACATAATTTCATCGTCCGCAACAAATTTCAACATTTTTGTGGGAAAAACCCAGCACCAAAATCACATGGTGCTGCGCAACAACAATTTACATTGTTGCACTAAGAATACCGTAAGAACGAGCACACCATCAGCGTGTGGCACAGGATCGTCGGCTAAATCAGGATCGTCGGCTAAAATCCATCATCATCCAGACTCTGAGGCGCCATCGGAACCAACCGGGAAGAGATTTCATCGACTGGCATCGGACCGAACCGCAGAGGACGATATTTTGAGGATTTTTCGAGGTAGGTGACTTTAATTGTATTCATTTGAGTGGTTTACTTCGGTCGATATGCCCAACGGCGACGGTACCATGATGAGCAGCACACAAGTCGAGCAAATCTCGGCCGAGGAAAAAATGATTCGGGTACAAATGGATGACCTCTCACGTATTCGAAAAGAAATGGTCAATTTCAAAAAGACAATCCAAGAACAACGCACGAAACGCCTTCTCCATCGTCGTTTAAAACGTATTGAAGCATTGCGCGTCGAAATTGTCGGCCGTCACCGAAAAATCGTTCAATTTAGCGTCGATCAATCCGACGATTATTTCACGGAGGAGATTTTTGACTTGTTCGAAAATGAATATCTTGAAGTGGTCGCCGCAATTGAGACCATGATTGATGAAATGTATCCCGACTCCGAATCCGTTAATCAAACAAATTCCACGTCGGCAACTGAACAACCAATTGAAACGATAGCTCGTCAAGTCACTTACAATATCACTAACGACGTTCCGTTCAAATTACCCGAATTAACTATTCCAACTTTCGATGGTGAATATCGCGATTGGCCCGCGTTCTACGATGCATTTTTGCAAATACATAATCATCCAAAATTGACTACCAATCAAAAATTCACCTATCTCAAGGTCGCACTCAGTCCGCGAGTCAAAACGTTCATCGGTTGGTTGGACATCACCGCCGAAAATTACGAAGAAACGCTCGCCGAGCTGAAAAAGCGGTACAACAGTAAACGCGTTCTTTTCAATAGCCACATGGATCATTTCATGAAACAACCACAGCTCGCTCAAGAATCACCCGATGGATTTCAATTATTGCACGATGTTTCAAGGTCATGTCAAATGGCGTTTCGCAAACTCGACATTTACTCCGAAGAGTGTGGTGCATTTCTCGCCTATTTAATAATCGCTAAATTACCGCATTCAAGTCGAATCGAATGGGAGAAAGAGCTTGGCAAATCGACTGACATCCCAACTTTGGAACAAATTCTTGATTTCCTTGATACACGTTTCCGTACTTTGGAAGCGGTTTACCCTCAATCAAAGAAAAACTCACATAAACCGTCTCCATCTCAAGCATCAATTTCCAATCGGAAAGAAATAAAATCATTTCACGTCGCTTCGAAAGGTCTTTCGTGCCCAATGTGTTCACAATCACATGCATTGCGCAAATGTTCCCGTTTTCTTCAAATCGGTCCCCATGAGCGAAAATCATTCGTCGACAAATCAAAGTTGTGCGTCAATTGCTTAGGCCATTCTGCTGATACCGCTTGCTCGAGTACACGAACGTGTTTCACTTGCGGTGGGAAGCATCACACTTTGCTGCATTTCCACAAAATAACGAATCAAGTCTCTTCATTCAATCCGAGAGCAACGACGTTTCAACCCAATGCACAAACCGTACCCAATGTAGCGAATACAACGAGCACGACCGCTGCAGTTAATTTAGTGAGTGCAAGTTCAAAAACCATTCTACTCACTACGGCTCTTGTCGATGTACCTGATATTAACGGTCAACTCATTCGCCTCCGAGCATTAGTTGATCAATGCTCACAACATTCTATCATCACAACACGAGCCGCACAACGATTAAAACTTCGTTCAATACCTATTTGTGTTGGTATTCGTCCAATGGGAGAAACTCAATACAAAATTGCAAATAAAGGTTTAAATCTCGACATTCATTCCATCGTTGACAAAGATTATTCCATTCAAACAACCGTCGCGATAATTCCAACGATTTCTACCGATTTGCCACTTTTCCCCGTGAAAACCAACGAATGGCCACATCTTCAATCATTGCCATTGGCCGATCCGTCGTATGCAACACCCGGTCAAATTGATTTATTGCTCGCCGGTGAAGTGTATTTCAGCATCGTTCAAAGTGGCATATGCAAAGGTCAAGAAGGTGAACTGGTTGCCATCAACACATCACTTGGATGGCTTTTAGGTGGCGAATTATGTCAACAAAAACATGTGACTGCCATGCCAGTCAGTTGCAATCATGTCTCGACAATCGAAATCGAAAAATGTATCAAGCGATTTCATGAATTGGAAGAAGTACCATCGGTTCG